CAGACCAACCCAGTTACATGTAGTAAGAAATAGGAAACAGTAACCTCAGAGGGGAAGAAGAACAAAAAGCTAAACATGTAGGATACCAATATATTTTAGTCATTAAAAAAACTGATGGCTGAAGATGGATCAGTTAAGAAAAAGGAAAGGTTTGGTGTTGTCACTCAAGAGTACGGAGCTGACGCGCAAAATCCTTAACCATAGGTTCACTAACCACAAGATCTGGAAGCGAAATTCAGCGCTCTATAACTCGGCGCGACAGACGAGTTTCCGCCCAAGTCAGATCAGATCGCGGCTTGTACAGCTTCGATGGGTGACCTCGGGGATTAGGTAACTGCAGGACTAAACTGATCAGATAAGTCCTGGCCGATCTCACCTGTCAAAATACGACAAGTAAGAATCAAGTCCCCTTTTATCCTTCTGTAGTGCATTGAGTACATTCCCAAACTAAGCAAGCGTCCGAGATGCGTCTCTCCTTGTAGACCTTACACTAACCGAGTGCCCATACGTAACACCCTCTCCAAGTCCATTTTGTCTCGGATAAAACATGGTGGACAAGCCTGGATACAATATTCTAGGTGGGGTCGGACGAATGCCGAGGATAGCTTCGTAAACATATTAGCCGTTAGGACGCCGAAAGAGCGGCAAATTAATCTCATCATTCGGAAATCTCTACACGCAACGTTCGTCCAATTTTCACCAGAATGAAGAGCTGGTGAGTAGACGACACCTTAATCAACCTGCTGAATGACAACCGGGACTTCACTGCCGCCGACAACATATCGCGTGGGAGGAATAACAGTTCCGATTCGGAGAACAGAACATTGCTCGATTTATGAGCATCAACCATAAGGCAAACCATTCCCGGAGAACACTGAATTACCTCAGGAACCCCCGGGATATCCACAATATGCCAGAGCTTAAGGTCGTCAGCAAACATTAGTGATGACACTCCTCGCTCCCCCGGCAAGTTCCTTACATGGAGCCCAAATGCCGAGCCCTGCGGAACTCCATTAAGGATAGCTTGCTTAAGCGAAACGCTACGCCCCATGCGTACGCATTGTTCCTTCCTCTCCAGGAAAGCAGATACCTGTTTAAGGGCGCGACCAGATATCCTGTAAGATCTCAATTTTAGTGAGAGTGGAAGATGATGAACAGTGTCAAAAGCTTTCGAAAAATATACGAATAGCACGTCTACAGCGGTGCCGCCGTCTACCGCTTCGGCTCAGCTTTCACGAGCTACAAGTAGATTATTCTGAAAAGGAAATCCCATGCGAAACCCTTGTTGCGCAACACCGAGAAGGTTAAATGTATTCAGGTGGTTCTCCACCGATACCCTTATCAGCTTTTCAAACAATTTGACTACTACGCTTGTCAAACTGACAGGCCAGTAGTTCGCGGGCACAACGCTGTCATTGCTCTTAAAAAATTGGACAGGTGATTGCCTCCCTCCACTCCGAAAGTAAGACGCAGCTGTCAAGCGATATTGAAAACACGCATGTGAGACGACCACACAACTCAGCGGCCAATTAATGCAACAGCTTCAGATGAATTGAATCACGACCAGAAGCTTTAAAGGGATTAATGCTATGCAATAGCTCGAAAACCTGAGTCTCCGTTATGTTAAACTCAGCTAAGCAAGAATCCTCTGAAACTCTTGAAACCAATTCAACTAGTGGTAAAGAGGTCGCCCGAGCAGACACCCCAGTATACCTTTCATTAACTATACAAGCCTTGTCATAGTTCGCGCAGGGGTCCCGTCTGCTCACAATAAAGCCGGTATAGACAGTTTTGCCCCGCTGCGTCTTTTAACGTAAACAAAAACCTTTGGATTAGCTGCGGCCGAGTTCGCTAAACCTTGCTCGTATTGGAGACGAGCAGTCCTGAGATGTTGCCTGTACTTATTTCTAATCTCTCTATAACTGTCGTAGGTACGGTAGGTACTGGCTGCTGGAGCTGCTTGATAGGTTCGCCAGCATCTAGACCTTTTCTTGAGTAGTTATTGGCCTGTGGAATCTGTCCATGGAGGCTGTGCCTGTAATCCTTCTTTCCATATGAGTGTAACATAGGGAGTGGAAACCTCCGTAAGATGTGCTTTAAATTCATCCCAGGCTAACTGGACAGAGTCTGTCATTGAGATCTCACAGTTCAGAACTGAACCCTTAGCTCGCATTACACTAAAGTCCGCCCGTCAAATATTCGGGAGTAATTCAACGGCGATCTGTTGGTGCCTTGAAAGAGCATACCGAAAGGATACGCATGCATGATCGCTGGACCCTAGAGGTGCACCGTACGAAACGTCAGTTACGAACTCGATGGAGTTAGCGAAAACCAGCTCTAAAGTAGATGGTACTTGGTTGTCCCTATACCTATTGGGAAAGTCCACGAACTGGTCCAAAGGCACCTGGAGAGTCAGCTTAAGAAAGTTTGCACCGAAGGTTTCTGACGCCGAACTGCACCACAGATCGGCCCAGTAGACTTCTGGAGGGTTAAAATCCTGTAGAACTAAACACCGGTTCCTGCTAAGATTTGCATGCGTTTCGGAGGATCACCTAAGCGCGTCCACTACCGACCGGACTTCGCGAATCTACAAAACCCTGCGATTTTAACCAAGTACCAAGCCTCACTGTCAACCTTGCTTGGCTCAACTATTGACGGTGAACTCGATTCGCAGTGGGCGCACATCAAAGATGCTTTAGTTTCCGCCAGTATCGACACTTGTGGCGTTACCCGTCACCCACTGAAGCATTGGATTTTCGCCGACTCCTTGTCGCTGATGGACAGACGCCGCTTGCTCCCATCGGATTCCAGACACAGTGAAGAACGCCAGTACCTTGGTCGAGAGTTGCGCAGGAGTCTGCAAATGGACCGCGAAGCTTGGTGGTGTGAACGTGCTAGGGAGATGGAGCTTGCTAGTCTCTCTGGTAATACCAGCAAACTCTTCCATCTCATTCGAGTCACCGAAGGTGTTCGATCTGGTGTAAGTGAAACAATATGCGAAGAGGATGGCACCTTAATCACCAAACTTCAACGACGGTTGGAGCGATGGGCCGAACATTTTGGCTCGCAGTTTTCTTGGCCCCCAGCTCCATCTGCTACCTCTGGCGCTCGCACTGGGGCCGAGTGGTCTACCCCAACAGACCCTCCCTCTTCCCAGGAAATCGAGCAGGAGCTCCGGCACATGAAGCGTTATAAAGCCCCCGGCCCTGATGGTTTTCCTCCGGCTCTATTTAAAGATGGTGGCGCATCGCTGGTTCGAGAACTCACCGCTCTGTTCCTGAAAATTTGGTCGAAAGAGAAAGTTCCGTCATCTTGTGGTGAATCGATAGTCGTCCCCATCTTCAAAAAGGGACTGCGCACAATCTGCTCCAACTACAGAGGAATAAGCTTAGCCCCCGTCGTTTGCAAGCTGCTGGTGTCCATCATACTTCGCAGGCTATCCCCAACACGCGAATCATTGCAACGAGAAGAACAAGCTGGGTTTCGCCCTGGTCGCGGCTGCATCGATCAAATCTTCCCACTTCGTCAGATCATCGAGCTCCGCCATGTGTATCAGAGGCCAACGATTGCTGTGTTCCTGGATATCCGTGCAGCCTTCGATTCTGTCGATCGTACAGTACTGTGGCACTGTCTACTGAGGAATGGTGTCCCCGAGAAGTTCGTCTCCATACTGCGCGCTCTATATAGTCTGACCTCAGGCAGGGTTAGGGCTTATGGCAAGCTTTCGCCTACCTTTGTGGTCTCCATTGGAGTTCGACAAGGATGCCCTATCTCTCCGTTCCTATTCAACTTTGCCATTCAGGATGTCTTGAAGAACGCTCTAGGCGATTCGTTGAATGCTGGCGTTGAGCTCCTCCCAGGTAGTCGAGTTGTTGATTTGGATTATGCTGATGATATCGTCTTGCTGGGTGATGACCGACACGTCGTCCAACTTGCATTAAACCGCTTGGCGATTGAAGCATCAAAGTACGGTATGTACTTTTCGCCATCCAAATGCAAGGCTCTCTTCCAAGACTGGCAGGTGCCTCTGCCTGCACTCACGCTTGCTGGTGAGACACTAGAGGTTGTGGAGAGCTTTGTCTACTTGGGAAGTTGCATCACTGCTGGCGGGGCTGTTAGAGACGAGATTTCGATGCGCATCTCGAGAGCAGGCCTCGCTTTTTCTAGGCTGAGGCATTTGTGGCGTCGCCACGACATTCGTCTCTCCATCAAAGGGCGCGTCTATTGTGCAACTGTTGTGCGGATGCGAGACCTGGCCCATTCGTAAAGATGACTTGCGCAGGCTATCCGTCTTCGAGCACCGCTGTCTGCGGTCCATTGTCCATGTGTGGTGGCAGCACCACGTAAGCAATTTGGAAGTTAGACAGCGTGTCTTGGGACGTGGAAGCCACTCGCTCGAGGAGCTCATCTCACTGCATCAACTGCGGTGGTTGGGACACGTATTGCGCATGCCTGTCCAGCGTTACTCCCGTCGTGCGTTGTTTGCGGTTCCTGGACAGGTCTGGAAGAGACGGTCTGGTGGGCAGCCTACAACATGGAGAAGCCGCATGAAAAAGTTGACAAAACAGTTGGCCTCGGCCGGTTGTTGTCGACTACCCGGTTGAGGTCCGAGAGATGCGGATACTTGCTGGTTGAAGACCTTGGAAGCTATGGCTCAAGATCGATTTCAGTGGCGGACGTGTGCATCGGTTTGTTGCGGTGGCCCTTCTTCCTCCTCCTAAAAAAAGAACAAACTGAAAAATATCAAAAACTGTGAGTGGTAAAATAGACAAAAAAGCTTTTGTTGTTGTTCTTTTCTTATTATTCATATTGTTTTCCTCCGGCCATGATTCCGATGGCACAATATCTACCACAGATTGTGTATTATACATATATATATATATATATATATATATATATATATATATATATATATATATATATATATAGAACTAAACATTTATTCGCAGACTGCAAATAAAGTGTATAGTTCCTCTGGAGGATCTTGTAACACGGAAACGACATTTCCGTATTAGGTGGCAGAGTAAGTCTGCTACTTATTGATGACACGTCTTCCCGCTTTTTTCAGCTATTGATACTTATATCTGATGTATGTATGTATGTATTCTCAACAGTCTATTAGCTAGACAAAGAGCCAGCCTAAAACCATGGAGATAAGGAGATAAGCAAGATTCATGGCGTCATAATCATCGTGGCATGCTAGTTGAAGGTGAGCAACACACTTCAACTTATATGCCGCAGGAAGAATGGAACATTTTGATAAAAAGCAGAACAAACATTTTTAGTTTGTTTTTCACACGCCGCTTTTGTTCTTTTTTTGTCATTTTAATGTTTGTAGAATTAAACATGTGAATCAATACAATAATGTACACAATTCTTCCACTGATTCCGGTTGCGGGCCATATCTTCAAGAGTGCTAAGCCATTGGCACTCCTCATCTTTGGGTCCCCATCCTGGAAGACGTACGGATCCTACAGCGGCTAGACACGACGTCAGCGATTTCATGTGCTGCCGCCAAGTGGAAGGCTGACCACCACGCGGTCGCCTCCAGCCAGGTCCTTGACGAGCGAATAGAGCGCGACGCGGTAGACGCTCAGGTGTCATGCGTAGAACGTGACCGAGCCATCTCAACTGGCGCAACAAAACCAGTTTGTTGAAGGGAATACTCGCATTCCCCAAGACGCGACGTCGAACGTCATTACTATTTACTCGATGTTGCCACCAAACACGCGCGATCCTCCTTAAGCAACCGCTATCGAACGCAGAAAGACGACGCATGTCTTCCACGCGAAGCGGCCAGGACTCGCACCCATACAACAATATTGAGCGAACTGATGCACTGTAAACTCGGCCCTTTAGTGAGAATGAGACGTCGCGACGACGCCACAAGTGCCTCAAATTGACAAATGCCGATCGAGCTTTAGCGATACGAAGAGAAACTTCTTTGTTGATAGTGCCATCGGCAGAAATACAGCTCCCAAGGTAGACGAAACTATCTACCTGTTCAAGTTGTGCACCATCGAGAGTGAGTACGGGAGCAGGCGAATGCCAATCTTTGAGCAGTATTTTACACTTCGATGGGGCGAAGCTCATACCATACTTAGATGCTTCAACCGCCAAACGATCCAGAATGAGTTGCATACTCTGAGGATCGTCACCAAGTAAGGCGATATCATCAGCATAATCTAAGTCGGTCGCGCGCTCACCCGGAAGAAGCTCTAGGCCAAAATGTTGGAAACCTTCTAGAGCATTCGACAGAACGTCTTCAATTGCGAAGTTGAAGAGGAATGGGGACATAGGGCAGCCCTGTCGCACACCGCTATTGACAGTGAATTGCGAGGAAAGCTTGCCATAGACCCTCACTCTGCCGCATGTATGAAAGTAAAGTGCTCGTAAGATGGCGGTATATTTCTCTGGCACCCCGTTCTTTAGTAAGCAACGCCATAAAGCAGGACGATCAACGGAGTCAAAAGCGGCACGTATGTCTAGAAATGCAATGATAGTGGGCCTGTGATAAATGTGGCGATGTTCGAGGAGCTGGCGGAGCGTGAAGATTTGATCCACACATCCGCGGCCAGGACGGAAACCAGCTTGTTCTTCACGGTAGTATGATTCACGTACTGGGGATAGCCTGCGAAGCAGAATGGATGCCAATAGTTTAGAGGCAACCGAAATAAGACTAATCCCGCGATGATTTGCACATGAAGTGCGAGCGCCTTTCTTGAAAATCGGGATAATGACTGATTCTCCCCAAGAGGGAGGCACTTTCTCTTCATGCCAAATTTTTGCGAACAGCGCGGTCAGCTGGTTAATGATCGCCACACCGCCGTACTTGAATAGCTCCGGAGGAAGTCCGTCTAATCCGGCAGCCTTGAAGCGCTTCAAGCGTCGAATCTCAAGGCCGACTTCCGCTTCGCTGGGTGGATTCAGAGGGACGAGCCAGGGTGGACAACAACGTGTACTGCATGTACTGATGGATGGTGGAGGCCAGTTGAACTGCGAGTGAAAGTGCTCGGCCCAACGGTCCATACGCCTCTGTTGGTTGGTGATCGGAGACTCATCCACCTCACAAATGACCTCACTGACACCAGGTTTCCTGAGGCCAGTGGACCGAATGAGTTGGAAAAGCCTGCGAGTGTTGCCAGAGAGGGCAGCGGTCTCCATCTCTAAAGCACGTTCAGACCACCATGTCTCGCGATCCTTGCGTAGGCTTTGCTTGAGCAGCCGGTTGGCAGAACGGCGCCGCTCGTTGCAATCTGATTCCGCGGGTATATCTTTGCGGCGTTCGAACAGCTCCAGAGAACGAGCAGAGATCCAAGCCTTCAATGGGCGTCGAGTTAGGCCACAGCATGACTGTCCGGAAATGGTCATTGCCTTCCGTATACAAGTCCAGTGTTGTTCCACTTCTTGCGATGGATTGCAACTGAGTGCATATGCCAATGAAGACTGATAGCTCGTCTGGACAGAGGAATCAGTTAATCTGTTTACATCAATCTTGCGGTGCTTCGTGCTTCGGGATCCTCCAAAACACATACAAATTTTCGCGCAGACCAGAGCATGATCTGAGTCAACGAATGTGGACCAAAAGGACCTGCAGTCTAGTACGCTGCCGCGCCATCTGAAGCTAATTGCAATGTGATCAATTTGAGACCACGGTTGTGTTGAAGAAGGGGGACGCCACGTTGCGGAACGCTTCTTCGTACGCCTGAAGTTAGTGCTCGAAAGAAACAGACGGTTGTCTTCGCACAATGTGAGAAGTCTCTCTCCGTTATCAGAGCGGTTCTCATCGAGCGCGTGATGACCACCAAGGTGGCGTTCGTATGGTAACAGGCGGCCAACCCGTGCATTAAAATCCCCAGCAAGGATAACGACATCCGACTTTTTAGCATTAGTCAAGAGTTGTTGTAGATCCCGATAGAATTCGTCCTTGACCGAGTCGCCACTGCAGTCAGTTGGAGCGTACACAGAGATCACAAACAAGTTGCGTCTCTCTTCGCGGTGCCTGTTGATTCTACACGAACCCCGAAGCCGAACTGCACATAATCGGCTGTTAATAGGGAACCAGTCCAGTAGTGCCGCCTCGGCCTTGTCACTTAGTGCTATACCTACACCAGCCAGACCCGCTGAGGCTGCTTCTGGATCTCCAGAAAGACGCAGGTGATATCTGGCTTCGTGGTCAGTGGGGGATGTCAGTGTAAGCACAGTGCTGGGATCTTGCAATCGGGTTTCTGAAAGGCAGCAGACATCAATGTCTAGGGACTCTAGAGTGCGCGCTAGACCGGCTTGCTGTCCAATCTGCATGAGTGTCCGAACGTTGAAGCACGCCAGACGGAACGAGGATCGGGGACGAAGGAGAGCCACGGGTTGAACCTCTTGGTCTGCGGCGCAACCGGAATCGCAGCCAGATTGCTGAGCACATGAATCAGGTAAGGGAAAATGAGGATTGTGAACAAACAAACTATTGGCGTGTGCTGAAGTCGCGTGAAAGTGACTAGCAGAAACAGCAGCTGATGAGCAAGTTGTAATACAGTCCATGGTTTTGCGAGAGGGCGTGATACTACCCGGTTGCCCAAGCCGAAGTAGGGAGTTGACTTAGGGGACTCCACCCCGAGCCTTTGGCTAAATAACCTACCCGCAAGGCAGCGGGGCCTTATATCTGATACTTATATCTGCATCTGCATATTGGCCTTGATTGCATACTTGATGGTTGTGATAAGAGCAGATTATCAAGGGTCGCCTTATCTGCTGCATACATCAGGGCGGATAAGCGAAAGCATGCTACTACTGGCGCCTCCTTTCTTTTCCACCTGTTTCTCTTACTCCCATCCCGACCCCGTTTACTAACCTTACTTCTTTAATTCTTAGCTTAATTGACAGCAGCCGAAGTGCCGCTGGAATAGAACCATTTGTAGCCACCTTCTCGCGACACCCATCGGACGCCTATCGGCAAAAGTCCTTTATAAGGCCACGCTGTCCCCTTTCCCTGGCGACGTACAACGTTCGCACTCTAAGACAAATAAGTCAACAGACTGCACTCGCACGCACCCTGGACACACTGGGTATTGATGTGTGTTGTGTGTCCGAAACTAGGATCAATGACCCTAATGGGGTTGTTGAATTAACTGTACCCAGCTTATCCTCTCTTTATTTCTTGCACGCGTCCGGAGACCGATACAGCACTCACGGGTCAAACTGGTCTAGGTATCATTCTAATTTCCATGGCTGTCATTATTGGTTGATTGGATTCCGGTGAACAGCCGTTTATGTGTAGCCCGTTTGACGACATCCGCTGTTGTTTCACGAAGTAGTGCACAGCGCTTTTTGTTTGTGGTTGCCGTTTATGCTCCCACCGACTGCAGTTCTAATGCAGTCAAGGACACATTCTATCACGAACTGAACTCGCTACTACACAGTGCTATTAGTTCAGATATTATAGTACTTGCAGAGGATATGAACACACAAGTAGGGCGTCTGCGCCCTTCAGAAGCTCATCTTGGTGGTAATTATGTGCTTAACTCCGAACGGACTGACAGCGACGTGCGTCTGCTGCAACTGTGTGGGGAGCATCTGTTGTTTCTTAGTAGCGCTGCTTTTAAATACATTGGGCACCGAAGTGCCACTAGGCGTCCTCCTGTAACTGGCCAGCGATGGACCCAAATTGACCAAATAACCATAAGTTACAGATGGCGTGGTTTCATCCTGGATTGCCGCTCGTACTGGAGTACCTGCGTCGACTCTGATCATGCCTTGGTACGCTGTTGTTTCTCCATGAACCTTACCGGGAGGCGCACCAAGCGTCTCTTCCGATTGACAACTGAGAAATTGTCTCAGCCCTCGGTCAGGCAAGCCTATCAAGACGCACTGTATACCGAACTTCGCTGTCTTGTTCCAATGACACAGCTTCAGTGGAATAGGTTCTCGGCCGCCATGCACGATGCAGGAGCATCTGCTTGTGACACCATCAATCGTCACCGCATTACTCACTGGATATCCGAGAGGTCGGTGAATCTGTTTAAATTTAGAAGAAACCTCCCGACTGGCTCTGAGCACAATGTGACCAGACGGCCTCCGTCGGCGGCCTAGGTCCGAAACGTGATCACAGCCCTCAATCGTTTTCCTGCCGCTGTCCCGGATTCCCTCCCACCTGCACTATTTAAGGATAGAGATGAGGTCCTCTGCAAAGCACTTACCTCCCTATTCAAACATATGGAAGGAAGTGTCCCGGCTGATTGGAGCGAATCGATTATAGTGGCAATTTACAAGAAGGGCAGTCACACAGTCTGTTCTAACCGAGTGGTATTAGCCAAACGCCATTTGTAACAAAATTACTGGCCTCGCTTCTCGTTCGTCGCCTCACTACGGAACTGGAATCTCGGATTAGTGAAGAGCAAGCCGGTTTCTGCCCAGGACTTCGCTGTATAGACCATATAATCACTCTGCGGCAGATGCTAGAGCAGCGCCACGCATACCGCAGACCGATAATAGCTGTATTCCTCGATTTCAAGAGTGCGTTCGATTCAATCGATTCTGCTTGACATACTTGCGCGGAAAAGTGTTCCCATGAAATATGTGAACATCCTACGTGCTCTATACTCGAACACTACAGGCCGCGTCAGCGCCTACGGTGACCTGTTTGATTGCTTTCTGACAACGATTGACGTTTGTCAGGGTTGTCCGATTTCCCCATTTTTGTTCAATTTCGTCGTGGATTCTATCAAGGAGTGTTCCCTTGCGGAATCACACGATGTAGGTGTTGAAGTGCTGCCTGGTGAAAGATTAGTTGATCTTGATTATGCGGACGATATCGTCTTGTTTTTCGACGATGGTACGGCGGCACAATCAACATTGAATAGCCTGTCTAGAGTGGTCCCATTATTTGGTATGCGCTTCGCACCTTCAAAGTGCAGTGTTGTTGCAGGACCACCAGCCACTTGATGATCCCTTGACCCTTGCTAACGAGGAACTCGAGGTGTTTGATCAATTCACTTATCATGGCAGCTACATCAGCAACGATGGGCGCATAGAAACTGACGTCAGCTTACGTATTGCGAAAGCCGGAACTGTCTTGAACCTGTGGCGTCTTTGGTGACAGAAGGGAGTTTCCCTCCGTCTGAAAGGCCGTGTATACAAGGCCACAATCAGGGCCGTTCTGCTCTATGGTAGTGTGACTTGGCTCCTATGTCAGCAGATTTGAGACGCCTTCAAGTCTTTGATCATCGTTGTCTGCGAAGCATTGCTGGTGTCGGATGGCACCAGCGTATCCGCAATGATGATGTGCGTAGACGAGTACTAGGTAGTGCTAATCATGCTAGCTCCCTAAAACAACAGACAGCATTTAATAACTTGCGTTGGCTAGGGCACATGCTACGTATGTCTGGTCACCGCTTACCTATGAGCGCCTTGTTTAGTCTACCAGGTGTAGGGTGGCGCAAGGCCCGAGGCGGACAGAAGTTGACTTGGCAGCGTGAAATGAAGTCACTGACGACCAAACTGGGTGCCGTTGGTTCGTCTCGCATTCCGGGCTGGATTCCACGTGATCGGCCGTGTGCTTGACTCGAGACTTTACAGGACATGGCTCGCAGTAGACACCAGTGGCGCATCTGCTGCCGTCTCCTAATCGGATTGCCTTTTTAAAGTGTGTTTGGCGCTGGGTAATGGCTAATTACGACGCGGGGCAGTGAAAGCCGCAAGGAAGCTGTTTTGCCGATACCGCCTTATCTTTGCACGATAGCCAGCTGCCTGTGACGGTATGTTGTTAACACAAGGTGTAGGTGTCTTGACCCTTATGTTTGCATACGGCATTAAGGTTTTCAAGCCAGTCCCCCTTCTCTCCCTCTTATTCTTGTTTATTCCATATTTCATCATGGTTGTATAGCAGCGAAGCATCAGTTCAAATGGCTGATGTACTGCTGTTGTTGATTGTTGATTGATTGTTGATAAGATTATCCAATGATTCAATTGTGTTCAAGTTGTTTATTTTCCTTCCAGCACCACAGGTCTCTTACGACCTTTACGTATTGAACGCTTGAATTCGGAATCCCTGACTGAATGCATATTGCATTAGGCGCAGCAAATTCAATAGCAAACTACGTATCTGGTTAATCCCGGGAGAGATATTTTACATTCTCACTCATTTGGCTATTCAGAAACAAGAAAGTACGTATGTACCTGTACAAGTGCTTTAAATGTTGGAGTTAAGGCTCGCTGACTCGTTTTTATGGCTGTCTCTGGATTATTTATATTGGATAATAAAGGAAAAGTCCTCATATACCGCAACTATAGGGGTGACGTCGAGAACAGTGCGATCGAGAAGTTTTTACCCATTACGATGGAACGCGAAGATGAAGGTAACTTAATCCCGGTCCTTCAACTTGGTGAAATCACCTTCACCTACGTCAAATACAACTACATCTATTTGGTCGGCCTAACGAGAAAAAATGCGAACATTGCACTTGTCCTCTCCTTTTTATACAAAGTGGTGAATGTAAGCTTCGTTACGGTTCGTCGTTTGACTCATCCAGATTTTCATCGAATATTTCGGCGAGTTCGAAGAAGAGAGTATCCGCGATAACTTCGTAATTACATATGAGCTGCTGGACGAGATAATGGACTTTGGTTATCCCCAAACCACGGACACAAAGATCCTTCAGGAATACATCACACAGCAAAGCCACAAGATGGAAGTCGCACCCCGCCCTCCCATGGCTGTGACAAATGCGGTGTCTTGGCGCTCAGAAAATTTGAAGTATAGAAAAAATGAAGTCTTTCTGGACGTCGTGGAGTCTGTTAACTTACTGGTATTTTCATTAGTTCCCTTGATTCACTTTCCTGTAGGTTAGCTCCACAGGTGTTGTTCTGCGGAGTGAGATAGTAGGTAGCATCAAGTTGCGGGTGTACCTATCCGGGATGCCAGAGCTGCGACTGGGTGTAAATGATAAACTTCGATTTGAGAATCTTGGCCGTAAGCTTCATAATTTTAGTCCGCAATAGACTCGCCGTCAAATAAACGGAGTACCAGCGGCGTTGCAACTACTGCTCTTCATTTCATACGTTTTAGGTGGGAAGGGTAAATCTGTGGAGCTGGAAGACGTCAAGTTCCATCAGTGTGTCCGTCTGTCACGCTTCGAAAATGATCGAACGATCTCATTTATCCCGCCCGATGGCGAATTCGAACTCATGAGCTACCGCTTGAGCACACATGTGAGTTTTACCGTTTTGCTACCCGTTTGGACTGACTGCACTCTATTAGTATGGCATTGTGACATGCACTTCTGTGATTAGTTCTTTCAATGCCGTAATACGGTATAGTGTCTGATTATGAAGTCGACGCAACGTGGTTCGCTTGCGAATTCCAGTGTGACTGACACTATGAGAGGATCCCGTCGTTTCGCAGAGATTTATCAAGAGGCCTTGAACACCTGAATCACACCGTTTGACCAACTGCCGCTCATTTACTGCATTGGCAGAAGTACCTGTTACGTTCAACGGATAATAGTTTATAACAGGTAAGTAGCCAATTGCTTGACCAGTCACTTAGAACGGCCAGCGTGAAAATTGCATGCTGCAAGTATGACGTCCATTGTATATAGCGCGCAATGGCAGTCCCACAGAGGGTTCTGTTGGATCCCAGATATAAATTCTCCTGCCTTGATTTTGAGGTATAGTGATTACACCCTTCATTTTGCGCTTATATCGCCTGTGGATGAGCCTATGGCGCGTCGGTCGTGCGCTATTTATCAAATTCACGGCTTAATGACCAACCAAAAATGAGCGCGGCAACACACGAAACTAAACTAGACAAGGAAGCAAAAGTTGGTTGCTCAGGTTGTTTATTTGGCGGTCTGAGTGTTCGCTGCGCTCGTGCGTTTGGCTGCAAACGTTTCGTCACCACTCGAGTTGACATCGTCAGTGCGCGTTTATGTAGCAGAGCGACGCGGTACGAAGCGTCACCTCGAGTGGTGACGAAACGTTTGAAACCAAACTGCCAAACTCGGCGAACACTTAGACCGCAAACTAGACAAGGTTTATTGTGAGGTCACTAACTTAGCTAAAGCTGAAAATGAGGCACCAGAAGAGAGCTAGCTAGGGAGTATATTACGTGCGTTGAGTGCGAGGACGAGCGCCACTCAACATGTCGCGTCCGATGGATCGCAAAGCGGATGCGAATGCTACGTATGTGACTCAAACAAATGGGAACAAAACTTAAACGAGCAAACCAATTACTTTCCTGATACACAGGAAAACTATAATATTAGCACATCGTAGAATAGTTTGCACCGGCCAGCTGGGAATCTCCATGTCACTACACAGCCCCCTCCTAGAAAAGAAACCGTGGATGACCCTTCGATTTACGTGAGGACTGTTCGTCACCAACCAGTCTTCTGCGGTCCAGGTGGTAAGACCTTATGCAACTGCTAGAGGAGCACTAGCGCGATCGGACCCTAGCGGGCTCGCAGCCGTGTTTTCCCTAACATTACCGAAAACGCAAAACGGGGAAAGTTCGTAAGCGTCAAATTTCCGCTTCCAGTTCGTATCTGCAACGCAAACAGCAACGTACGCAATTACGGTGGTGGCGAGAACAACGAAAATGGCAGTTACTGTATGAGGAAGAAAACCAACAAACACCAAATCAATGCGCTTTCAAAACATCTTATTCATTCTTTTTAGATTTTCAAAAGGTTTTGGGGTTATGTTTCAAAAGCTTTTAAAAATGTCATACAACCATTTCCATACAAAAATTTTAACAGAGCAAGAACAACGAACATTTCTGCGGAATAATCTGAATTCAGTATATTTCGTGTATTCTCTTCAGCCGCTTACATACAATGGGTGAAAATTTCATACGATTGGGAGTAATAGGTCAATACCAGAAATCGACGGTTAGTTGCGTTGGCTAGCCTGTCTGCCTCACCAAAACAGAGCAAAAGTGGCCATAAACTCGTTGTTTACATAGGTTAGGCTTCAAACACCGGATGGCGAAAGCCTCAGCAAAACGCAACAACTTGGGGTTGCTCTGTCTGTTGATGACCTTGAATGCTTCGTGGGGCTTGTGGCACATCGAGCAGTCGAATAAGTGCCGGGCAACGGAGCTGGCAGGTAATGTTGCGCCACAGGGAGCAAGGTTCCGCGGGACGTGTTCTGAAATCTGAGTGGACAACCTCCTCTCTGTCCGGCCAATGTACATACTACCGCAAGTACAGTTAAACTGGTAAACACATGAGGCAGTGACAGTAGAGTGAGGGTTGTCCAAATTGGATTCGTGTAGTAGCTTTTTGGTTTTGTGGAGCAAGACAAGCTCAGTTGGATAGTAACATCTCTTTATGGCATGACGTAAGTGACAGCAGAAACGTCCGTCATTTTCTTCCCCTTTGTAAGGCAGTGCAATGAATACCTTCTTATTTGAAGCTTCAGTTCGCTCTTCGTGCGGCCTGGTTTTCTCCCCATACCTTGCAATGAACTTGGCAGGGTACCCATTTTCCCGTAGGGTGGATGCGATACCCTGTAGCTCTTCCTCAATCGTTTCCTCTGAACAGATACGGCGGGCTATCACAAAAGATGCACGAACCAGAGAGTGCGTGTAGCTCATGGGGCAGTAGCTGTCAAAGTTTAGGTATTGCCCCGTCCAGCTCGGTTTGTGATAAATTGATCGCAGGAGCGACCCATCTGATCTTCTTGTACGCTTGATATATTGATGATACCTGTGTGGTCGTTGACAAAGCCCAGCAGGCGGAACGCACACTCCAAACGTTTAATAAATGCCATCCAGAGACCGAGTTCTCCATTAAGACGAGACATCCAAGAAGTGGAACTCCTTGGATGTAGCTTTAGAAAGAAGATCAGATGGGTCGCTCCTGCGATCAATTTATCACAAACCAAGCTGGACGGGGCAATACCTAAACTTTGACAGCTACTGCCCCATGAGCTACACGCACTCTCTGGTTCGTGCATCTTTTGTGATAGCCCGCCGTATCTGTACAGAGGAAACGATTGAGGAAGAGCTACAGGGTATCGCATCCACCCTACGGGAAAATGGGTACCCTGCCAAGTTCATTGCAAGGTATGTGAAGAAAACCAGGTCGCAGGAAGAGCGAACTGAATCTTCAGAGAAGTAGGTGTTCATTGCACTGCCTTACAAATGGGAAGAAAATGACAGACGGTTCCGCTGTCGCTTGCGTCATGCCATAAAGAGGTGTTACCATACAGCTGAGCTTGTGTTGCTCCACAGAACCAAAAAGCTACTACGTGAATCCAATTTGGACAAGCCTCACTCTACTTCGCTGCCTCATGTGTTTACCAGTTTAACTGTACTTACGGTAGTATGTACATTGCCCGGACAGAGATGAGGTGGTCCACTCGGATTTCAGAACACGTCCCGCGGAACCTTGCTCTCCATGACGCAACATTACTTGCCTGCTCAGTTGCTCGGCAGTTATTCGACTGCTCGATGTGCCAGAATCCCCACGAAGCATTCAAGGTCATCAACAGACAGAGCAACCCCAAGTTGTTGATTTTTGCTGAGGCTTTCGTCACCCGGCGTTTGAAGCCTAACCTATCTAAACAACTTGAGTTTATGCCAATCTTGCTTTGCCTTGGTGAGGCAACACGGGCTGGCCAACGCAACTATGCATCGACTTCTGATAATAACCTCTTACTCCCAATCGTTTGAAATGTTCACGCATTGTATATAAGCGGCTGAAGAGAATACACGAAATATACTGAATTCAGAATATTCCGCAGAAATGTTCGTTGTTCTTGTTCTGTAAAATTTTTCAACAGCTTTTGTCGTTTTTTGTTTTTTTTAGGAAGTTGGCCCGCAAGGAAATCGAATATGGGTAAGGAAGGTTAAGCGCTAGCAGGAAAGCGGGTCAGCTTGACCTTATAAGAGACTGTTGCCTATAGGCGTCCATTGTGTGGTGCGGGAAGGTAGCTGTGGATGTCTCGACTCCAGTGGCATTACGGCTGCTCTTAAACTGGGAACAGTAGAAGAAAGGCTAGTAACTTGGGTGGGAGAGGCATAGGGGTGGCAGGTGGACAAGAAGGAAGGCATTCGCCAGCAGTAGCATATCTTCGCTTATCCGCCCTGCTGAATGGAGCAGCTAAGGCGACGCTTGGTGAGCTGCGCGACGGCCGATGCAGTATGTAATGGACGTTTTAGGAAATAGTACTGGTTTTATGTTGGCTGAGATACTGGCATGGCGCCCAGGCCTAGGCAGGACGGCGATTGTGATCCTCAACCAAAACCTTTGGCTTAAGAGCCTGTACGTAAGGCAGCTGAGAGGGAGCACTGATCTAGTTTTACGGAAATGGACGCCATTTCCTCCCAAACCCCTAACCTGGAGGACCAGGAGACGGAATTTATCTGACCTCTCACCATTGACCAATCTGGTAGAAATAGCTCTCATTGTGTCCGGAGGCACAACACAGTATAGATCAATGGGTTGACGAGGTACGCAAACCGTCAAACCATGTTACGGTCCAGTCTCCTTGCGACAAAATTTAGATTTCTAGTGACTATCAACGATTCGTTGGAAAGTCTAGGCTGCGTTACGAAGGTCAAAGGGCATGCGCAAAAAGTCATAGAGCTCAAATGGTGTGATGACGGCGTTTTTTATTGCCTTCCTCCGCAACTGGTATCTGCTGATAAGCTTGTATCAGATCGATTTTCGAGAACACACGGGTGCTACATAGGCTAACCGTTATCTTCTAAATGTGAGGGATAGGATAGCCGTCAGGAATAGTTACGTTAGTAAGTGCCCAGTAATCGCCACATGAATGCCAATCTGCTGACTTTTTGGCACCATGTGAAGCGGCGACGCTGGCGGGCTTTTAGACGGGCGAACGCCGTCTAGCTCAAGCATATTCTGGAATCCTGTGCGGGCAGTTTTCAGCTTGTCGGTTGTCATTTGCCTGGCTTTAGGGAATACAGGCGGACCTTTGGGAATGATGTGATGCCTTGCCGCATCATTGACGGATGGCAGCTTGAGGGAATTTGCTCAGGAGCATCTGGCCAATTGCTGAGCTTGGTTGGTTGGAGTATGCAGGACTAATTGACTCATTGTCGGTCAAATGCCTATAACTGCCAGATTCGCGTGGTGAGCGGTTGGACTGCGTTGCTCCACGTCAACCAGTAAGTTGGAATGCTGCAGAAATCCAGGGCCAAGTATTGGCGTTTGGATATCTGCGACGAGGACGATCCATTT